AATACAAAAAAAGTGATGACGTGGCCCTTGGGTCCATGACCTCTCTGACCTTCACTTGATATATATAGCCTGCTCAAAATACTGTTTGATGCCTGTTTACCACTTTAAAAGAAGTGGCTCTCAATTTCACATATAAGAGACTATGTTTTAAGATATAAAATCTATACCAAAGGTAGCAGGGCTGCTTTACTTACTTCCCTTTGTTTATTATTGCCCCAAAATTCCACTAATTAGGTAAGGAACACCTATTGAGTCCCCTCTGCCTATACAAACAGCCCTGTCAGGGCCTCCCTGGTGGCCCAGCGGTTGAGCACTGGGTTGCAAAGCTGCCCACAGCCTCTGCAGCGCCAGTTTGATCCCCGGCTGCCGGGCGAGGGTCCCACATGGCGCGCAGACCTCTCCTGACGCCCACTGCTCCCCTCAGCAGTGTACTTCGTCAGTCTGTCTGTTCTATTCCCTGCTCTGGATCTAGTGAATTCTCTTACCCTCCCGCACTTCTGACTGTACTCAGTGCTTGTATAAATAAATAAATAAATAAATAAATAAATAAATAAATAAATAAATAAATAAATAAATAAATCTTTAAAAAAAAAAAATGGCCCCGTCAAACTTAGTCTTACTTTATTATTTATGCTATTAGATGCTACAGAATCAAAGGTATGCTGACCACTTTGTACTTGGGCATGTCAAAATCCTTTTAGTAGACAAGTAAATGTGTCTAGTACTGACATGAAAGAAAGCACAAGAGAAACTATGTAGTTGATAGAAATTTCCTTGATTTCTATTTTAATTAAAGTGGTTGTCACAGAATTATGAAAGATTTATCACATCTCTTGGAAATATATTAAGATCTATGCATTTTCCAGTGCAAATTTTACCTATAAAATACAAGTGTCAAAGCCAAACACATGAATTAAGAAGCACCAAGGGGACCTCCTTTTTATACTACCACAGACAGACACACCTCCATGAAAGGGGGAAGGTGCCATTTTCCCTGCCCTCACTTATATGCAATCACCTTGGACTACAAGTCCCAGTGTGTCATGAACAGGATTTCCTAAGTGGGGAGCTAGTGGAAACCAGGAATGGGGCTAAGTTGCCAGGTGGAACCAAGATAACACAGGCCTGCTCCTTGCTTCTGCACCCCAATATGGGAAGGAGACTTGGAGAACCATGAAAGGAGACACATGGAAGAGAGACAGCAGAAGACATGTGGGGCAGCTGCTCCTGGTCTTTAGCAGAGACAATGGCAGCTGTTATCTTTAATTCATTTGGATTGTGTATTATGTTTTGAGTTTTGTTTTTTTTGTTTGTTTGTTTGTTTTAAGATTTATTTATTTATGCAAGAACCGGGGTACAGGCCAGATGTGCGGGAGGGTGACAGGATTCACCAGAGATAGAGCGGGGAACAGAACAGGCAGACTGATGAAATACACTGCTGAGGGGAGCAGCAGGTGAGGCAGGAGAGGTCTGTCACGCCATGTGGGTTGCTCCCCGGTTGGCGGGGATCAAACCAGCACTGCAGAGGCTGCAGACAGCTTCACAGCACTGCGCTCAACCGCCTGCGCCACCAGGGAGGCCCTGTTTTCAGTTTTGAATCTCTCCTTCTGTCCCAGCTCTCTGCAACCCATCTAAACCCTTTCTTGTGGTTCCCCACTAGAAGATTCCTTAGACTTGTAACAAGCTTTCAGGTTCTGCTTTGGGCTGAGCCTGTTTGGCCACGCATTTGCCCAAAGGGGAGTGGGTAATTTTTTTAGTCTTACTAGGAATATTACTTCTACTCTCTCTGTGCACACTAATTCTATTAAAAATATTTCATACTAAAGGTCTTTCCCTTTGTGCCAGTGGATGGCCAAATCCTTTTCAGAGTATGTACCTCTTAATAGTTTGGAGTCTTTGAGTATCCCTCAGTCACATGCTAACAATACCACGACAGCACAAAAATCCCAGCTGAATAAAACTTGCTTTTTTTCTTTAGCTTATATTTCCAACTTCTGTGCACTAATTAAATCTTAAGGAATCAAATAGCCATGGGACTTTCATACTCTCCACTAAGTAGAAACTCTATATGAGCCATATTTGGCTATATAATTGCCTCATACATCAGCCAAAGTAAACACAAACCATCCCTGTCAAAGGCATCATCAAAATTTCACAGATATCTCCTCTGAGACAGATTAAGAGAAGAAGAAATGAATTGAAATTTTATTAATAACCACACAGCCCAAATTAGTCTCTCCTAAGTGTCAATCAGACGCTTACCAGGTTGTATAAAGCAAGTAAGGAAAGCAAAATGGTACAAATGTAAATAATTACACTGCAAACTGAACTGCGACTCTCATCTACATAGCAAAAAGAATATTTCAGCCAAAAGGCAGGTCTATTTTGCTCAGAAATAAACAAGCATGGAAGTAAATACACAAAGAAATAAAAAAGCACAAATCTGTATTTCAAAGATTACTAAAAACACCTTTACAAAGATGCATCCTTGTGAAAGGGGGAGGAGCATCGCAGCACAGTAACCGTGTGCCATTTTCCTCACCCCTACTTACATGCAGCTGCTTGGACTACAATTCCTATCATGCCATGCTGAATAAGGGGAGCAGATGGGAAGGAGCAAGGTGGATATATAAACTGAGGTGGAACCATCAAAGGAGAGGGTGAATGATTTGGGAGAAAGACAATTGGAGGAGACACGTGCTACTCCTAGTCCTTTGCAGAGACAATGGCAGCCATTATCTTGACTTAGGGTGGCTTATATGTACATTTTGAATTCAGGCCTCTCCTTCTGTCCCAGCACTCTGGGACCTGCCTAGCCCCTAGACTTGCTGCAAGCTTTTATGCCTCAGCCACCCCACTTTGAGCCAAGCCTGTTTGGCTGGGCATTTGCCCATGAAAGGAGGGGTAATTTTTGGAGTTTTACTGAGAACTTATTGTTTGAAATCCTTTTGTCTCTTTCTCATTCTTTGCACATCAGTTTATTAAAGGTCTTTCACACTAAAAGTCTGCTTTCTTTGTGTTTGTATACGTGGATGGTCAAATCCTTTTAAACCCCTTAGCAGTTTGGGGTCCCTGGGTACGCCTCAGTCACATGCACTTTCACTCTGAAAGAAAACAAAGAGTTCCTTGATAGAAATGCAATCCAGGTTTAGCCACTGACATATTGTAGAAAACACAAATGACACCCAAGATAGCTACTCAGGCTAAAGTACATACAGCATGATCACTTTTGTAAAATAGTTCCAGGGCAACTCCAAAGTCAGTCATTCTTACTAGTAGTCTTAATTTAAAAAAGAAACTCTTTTGACTCTCTTCCCTAACCTCTACTAAAGATACTCAAAATACCACATATGAAGAGACTATCTTGAAGGAGAAGTAGGGCTTCTACAGTGCACTCTAATGCTAAGTTGATATGAGGTTGCAATGTCTATAAAGCCTCTAGGGGCCCATCTGGTAACACAACTAAAATTAAGGTTGCAGTATTTTTCAGACTTATAAGCTGAAAATAGAATTCTTAGAAATCATCAAATGTAATCATTTTCAATTTTTTTAAGCTATAGAATCCTACCTCCTTTTTCAAAAACAAAAGTTTCTAACAGATGCCTTTCTATCTTCTTTTTGCTCTACATATAAAGTGATATAAAGCCACCCATCGATAATAATACAATGTAGAAAAAGACACAAAGGCCAATGAGAAACACGCAAACACTGCCTCACCCCATTTGTACACTCTTGTGCAAAATTTAAACAGTTTTCACTACATTCCCATCCTAGTCACAAGTAAAACCAGAGGCTACTCTACCCAGTTTTAGTACTCTGAGTAGTTATATCTTGAAAATCACTGATCGTGTCTAGCCCCTCATCTTACCATTAAAAGTAAAATGAGAGGCAGTACAATACAATTGAAAAGAAAACAGTGGAATAAAAGTCAATCCTCGCCCCACCCCTTGCCAGCGTATGTAACCTTGAATGACATTCATAAACTCTTGGAGCTTTAGTTTGTTCATCATAAATTGGGAATGGGGTAATATCTCTACCCAGAATACTCTCTATAAAAGTGCTCTGTAAATGGCAGAACACTGCATAAATTAAGGTGGTGTTATTTTTCCTGATAGGGTATTATGATTGGCCAAGATATGACGAGTTAAGTGCACAGCCAGATCTGGAAGATTAGTCTCCTAACTGCTTTCCAAGGCTTTTCCACCTAATTCACAAAATACTTGTGGATCATTCCTAAACAAGTATTATTCTTAAGCAAAGGGTAGTAGAATTTGGGTCTTAACCATTTTTATCAAGAAAACAAAATGGTGCCTTGCATAAAATCATTGAGATCACAAGAAATAAATGTAAATACAAGAAACAGTCTCTGCACCCTGAAAAGGGAAACTATAAAGAAAGATTATTGTATTCTACAAGATGACATAATATGAATGCTCACTAAGGCACTAATCAAATTAACCTGACCATTCTGAGTTGCTGTGTGCTTTTATTGTGCTTTAGGAAAAAAACGAACAAACAAACAAACAAAACCCTGCAATGTGCCTTAATAATAATGTGACAGTATACACACGGATTAGAAGCCAACTGATTTTCAACAATTAACATTGTCCTGTAACAATACCCGGATGAACGTCCAGGTCAAATGTAAATAATACTTGATGATCTATCCTACAAATTCCATGCTAACAAGAGGCTGAAAGGGCACATCCCTGCCCATTGTCTTGCATAGACAATAAAAAGAGAGGACTGGGAGCTGGTCCCTTAGTGCTCCAGTGTCTACCAGCTTGCTAGCTCTGAGCAACTCCACGCATAAGTCTAAAATAAGCCACTGACATTTCACCTCTGAAGGTAAAACTGTGCAATAAAGAAACTTGATGGGAAAAAGGATGGAGAAAATAAAGCCAGAGATGTCATTAAAACGTACTATGAGCAAAATCTACATATAATTTGAAGAATGCTCAAGACTAACAGAAAGCTTCTTCTCATAGAAAACTTGGAAAGCGCTTGCTTCAGCAGCACATATGCTAAAATTGGAACAATACAGAGAAAACGAGAATGGCCCCAGCTCAAGGATGACACGAAAATTCATGAAGTGTCCCATATTTAAAAAATAAGTAAATAAAAAGAAAATTTGGAAAATACTACCAATGCAATTTTTTTTCAGAACACAAGAATTTCTTTTTTGAAAGTTGTGTTTATAAGCTTATGCATATTCATAAAGTGATTCATTTAGTAGGAACATAGTCATCCCAAAGCAGTAAAAAAGCTACAGTTTTAAATGCTCAATCTACCCATCTAATCTTAAAGGTTATAGTAGCATTTCTTGAAAACATATTACTCATCACTGCTCTAACTATACATCTCTGTATTAGAAAACATGGAAAACAGGGTAGACTGGTAGTACACAAGTTTGTCACTGACAATAGTTAGAAAAGTCAAACCACATTAGAAAATAGCATGGAACTCTGTTAACATCTGCACACTTCATCATCCTGGAAATTTCACATCATAGACGATAATAACCATTATGGACTACTTTTAGGGAAGGCTGTTTTCTGAAGCTGACTCACCCTGACCCACCTTCAGTGTCTGAACAGGTGATGAGACAGCGCAAGAATAAAGCAACACGTCAAAATGCAAGCAAGTTATAAGAGCAAAACAAGGTAAATTGATTTTGTAATTGATGCGTATGTCTACTCAAAATTCTGTGCAATTCTTCTCTCAGTTTAATGAATACAATGCATTATACATATGCAGACAGAACATACAGGATGCTTTTTATTACTGATAACAATGGGAACTAGAATGTACAGAGCACTTATTGTTTAAAAAGCATTTGTATTAGTACTAATATTGCTACTTGTTTTATAAGAGAATTGAAGCTCAGAGAAGGGAAATGATTTGCCCACAATTAGACACAAAGAGATGACAGTAGAGCTCAACCTCCATTCCTATAATTGCAAACTCTGTTGATTTTACTTGAAGTAAAAACTATTTTTTTCAGCATGAAACTCTTTACTCCTGAAACCTTTTGTTCATTCATTTATTAAGTACCTACTACGCTGAACACTACTCACTAGCCTTGAAAAAATAAAAATACACAATTCCTGCTTTAATCGGTAAAGGATATACTACAATCTAGTATATAGTTAGGGAGAGATTTACACACACACACCCCACAAAAAAAGTAAACCAATGGAGGAAGTGGCAAAAGAAGTGGGTATGTGGCAAAAAGGGAATACAGATGAGGAAGCCCTAAAAGCTTCCTAAGGCATGCCTTCCTTTTTCCACAGGAAGCCATCACGTTATCTGAATCTTGGGGGTAAAAGAAGCCTGGAAGAAGATAGGAGAGGGAGGAAACATGCCAGGGGAGAGAAGGGAGAAGAAAAGATGGAAGGGAGGAAGGGAAAGGGAGGTGGGAGATGTGGAAGACAGTGAAGGTGAGTAACAAGCTGAAATTTATGCTTTAAAAAGATCAAACTGGTTTCAGTGTGGAGGATGAACTGAGGCCAGAAATAGGCACATCAGTTAAGACTTTACTGCACTGGTACAAAAAATATGAGTGTCTAAATTAGGGTAGTGAAAAGAGAATGAAGGGGAGGTAACAAATTAGAGAACTATTTTGGAATTAGAAATCTTAAAACTTAGTGATTGACAAGAAGCAGCAGGCAAGGTTCAAGGGGTAATCCAGGCTAACTCTCTGACTTCTAGCTTCTGCTACTGGAGGAGACAGAGGGTTGTTTTAGTGAGATAAATACTGAGTTCAATTTGAAATGACCGAGGGAAGTTTGTGATATAGTGTATGTTGCATAAGGTAAAAATGGCTGATACATAGTTAGAGACTGGGCCCCAAAACTCTGAGGACATATGGAATTTAGGAGTCGTTAGCGAGTAGGCTATAGTTGAAGACACAGGCCTGATTCTGGTTAGCACAGAAAGGGCATAATAGAGAAGAGACTAAGAACAAGACCTTAAAAACCTAAATATGTAAGGAGAAACAATGTGAGAAGACTGAGAAGACAGCGCTGAGGAGTAAAGTCAAGATGAAATGTCTGGAAACCTAGAGAAAATAGAAATTAAAAAAGAGCAGGAGTTACCGCAATTAAAAAAAAAATGTTTTCAATTTTTGAAAGAAAGAGAGGCATATGAGGGAACTTACTGAAACAGCATTTCTCTAATGCATTTTGTATTTGGCCATGCAGTTTCCAAAGGCCTCCAAGATGCCCACACCCAATGATACAGTCATTCCACACCTAAGAATCTATTCTAAGAAAGGAATCAAAAATCCCGAGCATAGTTTATATACAAAATGCTCATCATAAGCTTATTTATAATGGCAGCAAATTGAATGGTTAAATTTTAGAACCTCCATGGATATTACAAGCCATTTAAAAAGTATATTCATGAGTAATTTTAAATGAATGGAAAAATATTCATAGTATTATTTGTTGGAAAGAAGATAACCCAGGGAACTGTGTAAAATTTAAATGCACAGTATACAAAAGAAAAAAGTATAAAAAAATGCAACAAAATGTTAGTGGAAGTTATATACAGGTAGTGAGGTCACTTGTGTTTTTTTTGTTCTCTTTTTTAGTCTTCCTTTTTGCATTTACTAAATTTAATAATGTTCAGGTATTATTTTTTCCTCTCTTTAAGTTAAACTTTCTTGAGATCTCTCACTGGAATTCCCAAATGGCTAAGGATGTTGAACATCAAGCTTATGTGTCATCTGTAAATTTCTCTTTTGTGGCTTTTACCATTTTCTATTTGGATTATTTAGGGTTTCTTTGTTTTTAACTGCTGAGTTTAGGAATTCTTTTTACCCTTAAGTATGTCTTTATATTTCTGTGTGCTTGATTAGAAAGATGGCGTCTGTGCACTGGTATTTCTTCTACTTCTTCCTCAGGTAAAATGGCACCAGCATGCACATGGGCTGCGCGCCACGAGGTGTGAGCACAGCACATGCCCAATGATGACTCAGCATGATCATAACATGACCGCCACAGAATAAGTTCGGGTTGGGGCTCACTGGTCTGGGGGTATTTACCTTGAGTACAAAATAAGTGGACACAAAGTAAGTGAAGGTTTGGCTTCTTCTTGCCCTACTTTAATTTTATGGTGGCATTATCATAAGCTTTCAATGTATGTTTAATCACTTCTGTGTTAGTGGTAAAATAAAATCATCATTTTCAATGAAGTCTATCAAAATATGATTAAAATTCTGAGATTTATGGAAAAAACTGATAATGGATCTAACAAGACTGATCTGGTTCAAGGCAAATTAACAATTAATATTAGTAACCAACACCAACAAATTCTTCAACTACTATCAAGCACACTGATAACAGTATATGAAATAACAGAATCTCATAAATCAATAAGGTAAATAGCTCTTTGTCACCGAAGTCGCCTTTTATGGCAAAGAAAAAAACATTTCATCTCCCTGACATGTTTAATGAGGCTAAATTTTACAAAATAGATTTATGAACCCTGTTAAGTGATATTATTTTGGAAAGAAAAAAGAATAAGCATAAAAATTAAGAGAAAGCCTCAGGTTATAGGGGTGGGGAGGGAGGAGTATGCAAACAAAGCTTATATCTATAAAAATACCACAGCATTGTTCAAAGTAACTTATTACACAAACCTGAAGAACTAGTGTGCACTCTGGAGGAAAAGCTTATTAAATCCTATACTACTAACACTGTAAACAAGTTATTTGATGAATACACTGCTACTTACATTTATATAATTAGCACCATTACTTGAAAACAAAGAACAGAGAAAAACATCTACAATATTTGAATAATGAAAGGGTTAAAGTTATGAGAAATCTTTACACTAACCAGGCAAGGGCATGAATGTTGGAAATCTTAACTTTTATCAGTGAAGATAAGAAAGATTTATTTGTAAAACAATATGCACAGTAGGAGGAGGAAAATTTAAGTAGAAGTATGTTCTCAAACACATTGGTCAAAACATAATGAGATCAGGACTGGTGCTAAGAAAACAATGGCAGGAAATGGTGCAGAAGTAGTGACTCTCAAAAAGCGATTATCTGAAAGTAGCTTGAGTAAGCAGGGCATGCTCCATGGACAAGCATGAGCTTTAGGGTGCCAGCATGATTCAAATGATCGATTTTATTAAGTCAAGGTTTTAAATTTCAGACTTCACAAAGCTTTTTGTAATCATATGAGTTCCAGCGTCTCCCTTGTCTTAGTGAAATTTGTTGGTTATTGAAAAATAAGTTATATTACAAATAGTGCAAATAAAACTCATCCCCCTCAAAAAAAACTTTATTTTTTTTGACTTTTGGTTACCAAGAAATTCCCTTAGTATCTCTCAATTATGACGCCAGCTGGTGCATCCTAATATTTTAAATAACTGTTTAAATTTTTGAGTGAACAAAAGACAAAGAGAAACAATAAATGTTTTTATAATGACAATAATATTTTCTACCACACACTGAAGATTTATTTAAATGAGCTGAGAAACTTATTCAATCACTCCAAGCTGAACAAGCGTGAATTAAGGAATTTTCGTGATTCTACTTGGAAATTAGAATTTCCTGCTACTCCATTTTAAAATTTCTAAATCAGATTAACTGAAATGTTTTCAGAGCAAACCAAATACAGCATAGGTTAAAGGGCAGCAGATTTGAGCCTAGCTTTGTAAATTTTGTATTGGTTACTTTAACTTACTTTGCCATAATTCTTCATTTGTAAGACAGAGATAATTATGAGCACATGCCTATTTTTGAGAGTTGTTGTGTAAATAATACATACAAGACTCTTATAAAGATTTTAGTGATTAAGTGCTCAATAATGTTAGTGGGCTTTATTTGTTGTTGCTAGGCAAGGTGTTTTTAAAATTGTTTAACATTTACAAAAATTTTCTGTGTAAGCTGGGATGTTTTTGATGCTGTGCAACCAAAACAAAACATAAAAACAACCTAGAGCTCCCTAGAATTCATCAAACATGACTTTCTCAGAAATTTGATAAGCATATAAAGTTGATAAACTAAAAATTTCACTTTTATCAGTTTCACACTTATTGTGGCTCCAGAAAAAAAATTCATTTGCGAAATCTCAAATGAGGTCAAAGAACTCC